TGTGAGGTTGTAACACTATTGGTGTGAATGTAACCAGTGTACACCGTCCATGACCACAATACATATGTCTAGAACCACCTCAGACCCACAGATCTGCCTGCCTCTGCCTCTGAGTCCTGAGATTAAAGGTGTGTGCTACTACTGCAACTCTGAATAGTTTGTCCTAACAATCTTGCTACCAAGGTGAGGAATCTTCCTTTAGGACAGACAAGAGCAGTCTTGTTGAACTGGGCTGGGCTGGTTCTTTTGCACTTCTCTTGCCTTGCGAACAAGGGAAGAAACAGAATATGTGTGTTGGGCCAGCAAAATGACACAGCAGATGAAGCCCCTGCCATGCCCGGCGGACGACCTGAATGTGACCCCTGGAACCCATGTAAAAGTAGGAGAGCCCCGAGTCCACAAAGTTGCCTTCTGACCTCCACATGAACATCACGGCCGGTGTGTACCCCACATGTCACACGTGCGCAAGAAACAGTAACAAACTTTAAAATTGATTGTGAATCTTGTCACAGATGCGCAATTCTGATTTTACATGGGGATATAACTTTCTGGAATACGTTGAAGGGGGCAAGAGACTATTTGGCCCTTAGAGCACCCTTTACCTTCGACCAGTCTAGCTGGAAGGAGGCAACTATGCGAAACCTCAGAAGTCTACATGTCAGGTCACAAAAGGCTCAGATCCTTTAGGAAGGAAGGTTAGGTCACCTCATCAGGGCGAAGATGCCAGCCATTTAAGCTTCTAAGTGTGTGGGCGGCATTGCCTAAGTCCTAGAGAAAGGAAGTTGTAAGGACAGCCATGGCCTCATGACCTCACTTTCTTCCTTGTTTTTGTCTTTTTCCTCTTTTTCTTTTCCCTTTTCACTCATGACTAACCTCACAATTGAGTCTATACATTTGAGGGTAGCAAACTTAGTTGTAACAGATTAGGAAAAAACATTCATTACCCAAAGGTAAAGTTTTTGATGAGGTTCTGTATCTCACAGAATGGATGTATGAAGTTTTTTTTATGTACCAGAAACAATTGGTTAACAAGAGGCAGGACCTTGTTGCTGTATTGGTAATTTTAGCATGGAAAATGGATGAATAGGTACTTAATAAGAAAAGTTAACTGGGTGGTTTCTTCTTCTCGACTTGACACAAGCCAGAGTCGACTGGGAAGAGGAATCTCATTGAGAAAGTGCCTCCAACAGATTGATGTGGTGTTCTTGGTGATTCTGTAGGGACATTTCTTGATTAAATGATTGGTGTGGGAGGATTCACCCCATCGTGGGTTGTGCCACCCCTGGGCAACTGGTCCTGAACTGTATAAGGAAGCAGGCTGAGGAGGCCACAAGAAACACGTCCCTAAGCGGCACTATTCATCCAGGGCCTTCAGCTCCTGCCTCCCGGTTCCTACTCTTACTTCTCTAGAAGTTCAGTAAAATAAACCATTTCCTTCGTGAGCTGCTTTTAGTTATGGCCTTTATTACAGCAACAGAAAGCAAACTAAAAAACAGAGAGATAGACAGTGGCAAATGTTGTCATTGGCTCTTCACACATCTCCAGTCTCATTGTAGCTTGGCTTTCTGAGCCTCAGAGTATGAGGGTATCTAGGGGTCATGCTGCTTTCTATGCAGGCAGGGTGGGGATGGTGCAGAAACCATGCGCTTCTTCTAGGAGGCCCAATTACAGAGGCTCCTGCTGTTTCTACACAGCTGGCTTAGAGGCTCTGCTGACCAGGTCCTAGACCCGTGGGTACCCAAGCAGGAGGAGGTGGCAGCAGCAGGGACATATTTGCTAGAGAGGTCACATGGCATGGTCAGTCGTTTCTCCTCACTGTGTGGTCAATGGCTATACAAAAGGTAAGCCTTTGTTCTTGACATTCAAAGTCATGCTGTGAGTTAACCAAGGCTCCCTAAGAAATCTCTTCACGATTGAATGAGCGTGTGCTCTGTTGTCTAAAACTGGTATATGAGTTTCTTTGTTTCTAAATTAGCAAAGGGGCTAGTCTGCACAATCTTGAGGCGCAGGAGTGGGGCAGATATTTGAGAACTGGACACAATCATTTGACCTTTAATCCAAGTCAATTTAATCTTAAATTTGGTGAATACAAAACTCCGTGTTTTTGTTATTTTGTTTTTTTTTAAAAAGATTTCTTTATCTTAGAACATGTATATGAGTGTTTTCTCACATGTATTTATGTGTACCATGTACATGCCTGACCCACAGAGGCCAAAAGGTTTCGGATCCCTAGGATCCAGAGTTACAGACAGTTGTGAACCTTCACCTGGGTGTTGGAAACCAAACCTGGATCCCCTGCAAAAGCCACAAGAGCTCCTAACTGCTGAGCCATCTCTCTGGCACCTTGGTGGTTTGTTTACTTGAGGCAGGGTCTCACTGTGTTTCCCTGACTGGCCTGGACCTCACCATGTAGTGCAGACTGGTCTCCAAGTCGCAAAGGGCTGACGGCCTCCGACTTGGCAGTGCTGGGGTAAGGCAGGTAGTGGCTCACAGGCGTTCCCTTCTGCTGCTTTTGTGAAAATGACAAAGACTTCCCAGACATGGTCTCCTGGCAGCTTTAGGTCCTGTTTCCTGAGACTAGCTGGAAGACGTCCCTTCGTTAAGCTTCCATGTGTATATTCTTGTGGCTCCCTTCTTTCTCTGTGTCTCTCCTTCCTGTTCTTTGTCGGGTACTCTCTCTGCTGCTGACCCTTTACTGAAGAGGGGTCCTAGGTGTTCTAAACTCAATCTGCTTCTCACTCAGCATTATTCAAGGGAGCAATTCCAGGTGTTCTGCGTTCTTATGGTTTTAATTCGTTTCTATACAACCCTGGCTTCTAGATTGGTTTCTTCAAGCCACCTCTCCTAAGGACCAACTATAGACCCAATATGTCCACATTAGCTTCTTATGGGCACTCGTGACAATAGCATGGATGAAACAGAAATCATTAGCTTCCTCTTCCTACCCCCTCAAATTCCCTCTCATTGGCAAGCTACTATTTCTATCTCTTCTCTATGAAGGTGAACGGCACCACAGTCAACGGGGTTGCTGCAGCCAGAAGCTGAGCACTAGCTGTTGCTCGTCTTTCCCTTGCTGAGCCGACCAGTCCTGCCACTTGTGAGCATTGCTCCACTGTCCTCTCTACTGCCTTAGTTTAAATACCATCACCTACAGCTTCTGTTGCTGCAACAGCTTCCAGCCAGTCTGTCCTCCCTTAATCCTGCCTCCCTCTTAGCCTTTCTTCACACTGAATGCAGATGAACACAGCTAAGATATGTGGTGTCGTGCCTTTCTCTGTTGACTGAGTTTTCTGCCCCACCAAGTCCCACAGCCATTTAGTCCCAATTAAATACACAGAGGTCTACATTAATTATAAACTGATTGGCCTAGTAGCTTGGGCTTCTTATTAAATCTCATAGCTTATATTAGCCCATAATTCTTGTCTGTGTTGTCCACGTGGCTTGGTACCTTTTTCGGCAAGGCAGTCACATCTTGCTTCCTCTGTGTCTGGATGATGATGGCAGACTGACTCTTTCTCTTCCCAGAATTCTCCTGTTCTCCTTGCCCCGCCTCTGCTTCCTGCCTGGTGACTGGCCAATCACTGTTTATTTAAAATACAAGTGACAGGGTACAGACCATGTCCCACAGCATTTCTCCTGCCTGTGAGTAGCACTGTAAGCCTTACACAGGGTGTGGAGGGTGTCCTCTCAGTGGGTCCCTCTTGCATCCTTGATACACTCCTTAGGGCCTCTCCAGTTCACTTATATGCCCAGCCTCCTTGAGATTTTCTCAGGTCCTAGTATGTATTGTTGTCTTCAGCCTGTACAATTCTGCTTCTAGCTGTTTGCTTCCCCTTCATTCCCCAGTGGCAGAGAAGTTCCCTCTACTACTGCCAGAAGTCTGCAGTCGTTAGCTTCTGATTTACTTTTGGTTAGACCCCAACAGACCTAGCTCATGAGTCAAGAGCTGTCTTTCATCTTCTTGTTAGTAGTCTACCACCTCACAGAATACTGGTTCTTAAATATTTTTGAAATGGTAAAATTGATGCAACTACTAAAGAACAAATACACAATTCTTCTTTATCACTACTTAGCAACTCTAACTATAAAGATTTAGGGTTGGCAAAATGAAACTTTTGGCTAGCCCTCAATCATTGTTAAGCCTTGGTGTGCGAAGTCCTTCTGTCTATGTGTTGCTTTTATTGGTTAATGAATAAAGAAGCTCATCTCGGTCAATGGCTTAATAGAACGTAGCCAGGCTGGAAGATGTATGTGTGTGTATGTGTGTGTGTATATATATATAAACAGGAGTCTTATTAGTATAACTTAGAATAAAATATCCAAATCTTAAATTGAAAGCTTGATTAATTTTTAAGCTATATCCACCTATGTCGTCACCAATCAGATCAATGATGAGAATGTGTTCAGTGCCATAGAAGGCTTCCTTGGGTCAGTCTTCCAGTCAGACTTTTTCAAAAGATAATCAGTATTTTTAACCTCTGTTAGTTGTTTGACTAATTTCAAAGTCCACATAATGAAATTATGAACTGTTTGCTTTTTTCCTTTCTCATCTCTAATTCCTTTATTATTTTTTCCATACAATATATTTTGACCATGTTTCCTCCCCCTCCAACGTCTTTCAGTTCCTCCTCACCTCCCTGTTCCCCTACGCGGGCTAATTTTATGTCAACTTGACACAATGTAGAGTCATCTGAAAGAACGGAACCTCAGTTGAGAAAATTCCTCCCTAAGATCCGGCTCTAAGGCATTTTCTTAATTAGTGATTGATGTGGGAGGGACCAGCCAGCCCATTTTGGGTGGGGACACCCCTGGGCTGGTGGTCCTCCATTCTATGAGGAAGCATGAGCATGAGGAACAAGTTGGGAGGCAGCACCCCTCCATGGCCTCTGCATCAGCTCCTGCCTCCCAGGTTCCAGTCCTGTGCGGGGGTGGGGGGTGGGGGGGTGTCTCTGCAGTCTTCACAGGTCTCAGAGAGACAAGCCATGAGAGGCAAGAAGGCAGTGCATCACCCCATGACTCAGTAGCTGGGCTTGGTTCTAACTTCAGGAGTCTGACTCTGTGTTGTTTATTTTAGGCATATTTAAACACAACACAATCTGGTGAAAACTATTCTTGTGAAGATTAGCTCAGTCCCACGTGCACAACAAAGCATACCTAAATCTCTTTGAGGAACAAAGTAAGCTAAATACAGAGTAAGTGTGACTACATCAAAACTCTGTAAAGCACCTTTCATAAGGATAGGTTCTGTAGACCGACTGAGAGAAAGGTCTGGAGGAGGGTCTGGTGCCAGAAAATCTTCAGACACAGACTGTGCAAAGGTCAGCAGGCTAGAAAGCATGTCCGCTCCAGCCTTCTGGACAGAAAGCAGGTTTGACATTCCTTCCCTTAAAGGAACAACCCTGTGTGCTTCACATTCCAGGTTCCCCTGATGCTCGCCTGACAGCCCAGGGACCTCTCTCTGCACCTCCTACACTGCCCAGCTTGAGTTCCTGCCCACACTGCTTTTGATGATGAACCATTATATGGAACTCTGAGGGAAATATAAACCCTTTCCCTCCCAAGTTGCTTTTGCTCATGGTGTTATTACAACAATAATAACCCTATGATATTACCCAACTTTATATTCTCTCTCCCTCTGAACGATCTGATTTTTGTTCTTAGATTCCTTTGTTCAGCATGATGTTGATAAGATTGGTTCTTTTCCATTGCTCTATTCATTCCTTCTCACGGACATACTGTACCATGTCAGAGGGCATTGGGATGCTTCATGGTGAGTTAACGTGGATGAAGCCATTATGAGTATTCTTGTATATGTGGTCTTGGTAGATGCTAGCATAATTGCCATTGAGTTTATAGCTAGGAGCAGAGTTGCTATATTGTAGGATGTGCATACAGCTATCTTATGAGGATACTCTTAACTCTTTTACTAAAATCATGATACCCATTTATACTCCCATCAGTAAATGCTTATGTGTTCCGATTGTTCCACATGGTTGATATTGCTCCATATCATTGTTGGCCAACTTATACAAATATACATCTGGGATGAACACTGAAGTTATAAATTGCTGCAATACTATAGGAAGCATCCATAATTGGTTTCCTGAGGTTGGTGAGTTTTCAGAGACTAATAAAAACTAATAACATCCATTGAGCATGTACTGTTTGCCAGACACATCCTAGGCACCTTGGCAGGTTGTCTTATTTAATCACTGTAACCGTATGAAGGGAATTGCTGCTACCCTCATCTTATGATTGAGAAATCTGAGGCACACAGAGACATATAATTAATTTATAGACTTGAGCTAGCTGCAAGCACCTGCTTAGATTACTAAACGTAACCCTTCTTTGGTCTGATCAGCCTGCCCAGAAAGCATTTTTATGAGAGATAAAAAATTTGGATTAGAAGCCATTGTGGTAGTGCAATCCTTTAACCCCAGCACTCGGGAGTCACAGAAGGTGGATCTCTATGCGTGCAAGGCCATCTTTCTCTGCCTAGAGAGGTCCAGCCCAGCCAATCTTTCTTTTTTTTTTTTTTTCTTTTTCTTTCTTTCTTTATTTATTTATTTATT